AGAGAGAGAGAGAGAGAGAGAGAGAGAGAGACGGAGAGAGGGGAGGGAGGAAGGTGCAAGTGTAGGTTAACAACCTAATTGTAAACTGAGCTGAGGGCAATATAGATCTAGGTCTATGTAGAGGAAGCCACGGATGTGTTTATTGCAATTGAAGTGGACCATGGCGGAGCAAAAGGAACAGAGAAGCTTATAAATCTAACACTAACAGAGAACTCACCACAGATCTTAGGAGAGGAGGATAAAAACAAAGTCAAAACCCAAAAATGCAAAGTGGAGTCCACTTATAACGAGTCCTGAAATAACAAGAAGTCTGTTATAAAGATACTATTGTAAAACCCCGCTTTTTCCTCTTTTTTATCTTTGTAAATAAAACACTGCTATAGCGCAATCAGACAAAGTGCGAGTCGGTTATAGCGGAATATTGCTGCTGCTGTGCACAGTGTATAGGCCAATTATACGTATAAAGTAAAACCTCGCCAGTTGAGAAACATGTTGGTAATCTAGCGAAACAAAGAAAGGGCGAGCCCAAGTGTGTCGACAGTCGACAGTGAGAAAGCCAGAGCGACTGAGTAGGGAGGGTGTGGCATGCACAGACAAGCAGAACACATCGCGTGATAGGCCAGCCTAGTCTAGATTATCTAGGCCTACCATGCCCCTCACTTCTCCGATGCGTGGATGGAGAGGTCACAGTGATGTATGTGATGGATGGAGCGTCGAGTTTTGATCAAGTAAGACCCAGAGGTCAATTTGTTTTGAAACAAAATCATCACCAGGGGAGATAGCAAAAAGAAATAAACAGAACACCAAACTCATAGAATAGGCCTACTTTATTATTTCCCTTGAATTCATTACTGGATTCCTTACAGGGAGAATTCTGCTATAACAGACATTTTGCACCAGTCCCCTCCCTCTCATTATAACAGGATTCCACTGTATGAGCAACTATGACCCAACACACATGTTGGCATTGCAAAGGGTGCATTAAATATCAACATATCTAAGTCTGTTTATCTTCCTTTATATGGTCTGAAATTTGTAGCCTACATAGCAGCGAAATTTGTACAAAAAGGAAAAATTTCCAAGTCCTGCCGATTTCGCTATGTGACATGTGCTTGCTAAACTGCGTTTGCAGAAAGAGAAGCTCTCATCAAAGGTACTCATACTGAAGACAACTAGATCACAACAAAGTAAAGAAGGCTTACCATGTGTAAAAATATGAAACGGACACAAATGTATTCATTATGTACAAGCACCAAACGCAACAAACTATGTTTATTTTATAACATAATCTCAGTTTCAGACAAAACTAACTTTGCAATAGTACAATTGACATCAATAGTGATTATTGTTGTCTTAAGTTGGACTCAACTTATAATACTGTGGTGAGCATATGCCATCATCTTTAAAAATACAGTATATATAATATATATTATACACGCAGTTTTTACAATTTTACAGGAGAGCCAAAAAAACTGAATGCTGGTGTTACATTGTACCAAGAAATCAAACTCTTTGCAAACATCCTAAATCAATATTTTTAAGAACACAATTTTGATAAAAACTTCCTTGTTATCTTTAAAAAGCAAATACTATAATTTTTTCTCGGTGACAACATTCAGTTTTTTTTCTGTAATCTGTAAAAGTTGCATATACACTCATTGTACTGTATTTCTAAAAATAATAGCAGCACAGGCCACAATCACCAGATCTATACACCATACCAGAACATCAGAGTGAGTCTGCATCACTTTTTCAATTTACTAAAATAACAAAACAATTCAGTTGAATGTGATCACATCTCCATTGTAAATCTTGAAGAGTGAGTATGATGTCAGCTCTGGATGAGACCATATTGAGACGTTATGTTAAGTCATCAACACCTTTGCTTTCCTCCAAACATTGCAAAAGCCCCGGGGCGGTGCTACTGACTGAAGTGTCTTTAGGCCATTTCCAAAGGGGGGACAATAACCATGTTCTTATGCACAGTAGAATTGTAATTGTAAATGGGCTGATTCATCAATGTCATGTTCATAACTGAGCCTGAACTTCCACAGGGAACTGCTGCTTTTTCTTTCCTGATCTTTACTGTCTTTGTTTTCCTCTACTTCTTTTGTATGTTTGTCCCACTCTTGAGACCCACTATTTCTGGGGTGCCTTGATAGTCGAAGTAGACTTTGTGCTGTTGAAGCAAGAGAGGTGAGCAGAGTCTGTAAGGAATTCTCTGTTGACATCCACCCCTTGGCGCTCATGTGATCGTATGCAGTTGCGAGCGCCGTAAATCCCCTACCCTACTAAAACTTAATTAAAACATTGCACAGAGGCTCTTGTGGCCTAGAGGTAAAGGTGTTCGCGCCTCTCATTCAAAGGTCTCGGGTTCGAATCCGGGTAGCGATGGAAAAATTTACTTCTCTAAAAAATGGTCTCTTTTCACCTGTTTCCCTCTCTCTGGCAATATTCTGTCATCTGCTTGCCTTTCTTGCCACTGGGCTCCTGACTCTCTACTGCTACTTCTTGGCTCCTTACTGCTGTCTTTCAGCCACACCCAAGACCTTCTGGTAAGAAAGATCTACACCCAGCCTTCTTGGACAAGAGCAAAAAATCTTTGAGGTCCAGTGTGCAAGTTGCGCACCTTAAAGATCCCTTGCTGGTCCAAAATCGATAAGAGTAGGCTTCGGTCGCCACCTGAGCAAAATTCAAAATTTCCTACCAACTGAAAATGTTTGGTGTATTCCGCGCGCTCATATGACCTCATGCAGTTACGAGCGCCGTAAAACACTCACCAAAAAAAAAACCCAACAAAAAACAAAAAAACATTGCACTCACATCTGGGTCTTCCACTTAAACTTACATCATACGCTGGGTCGGTAGGACCTACAAGGCTGCATCAGACCGGATTACACTGAACGCTGAACTCATCAGTGATTTTGTTTCCCTGACCATCCCTATTGTCTTTCATCTCTACAGGCCAACACAAGACTAGATTAACAGCTGAAAAGGCATCACAAAAAGTAACAAGAAATGGTAAGCCCTATAGTCTTACAATTATCAGACATGGTTGTTGCCATAGGGTCTACCACGTATGTGAACAGTCTTGACATTGCACTATGGTTGGAGAACAGCTGGTATTATTCCACCTCTTGTTCCCTCTTTTGTCAAACTTCACTGTTCTTCACCAAATCAATAGAAGTGGTTCTCTCTTCTGATGGCAAGCACGTGGCCACGTTGTAATTTAACGCCCTACATGACACAACAAAGACTACTTGAAAGGCACATCACCCTGTCACCTTGGACAGGAAACTGGGCTACGGTGTGAGAGTAAAATATTCAACATTCTCGAAATTGAAATTAAGGCATGTGTCCGGTCAGAAACCAGACAGGTTCATGCAAGCTCAGGCTAGTTTGCATTCGTTGAGATTTTAAATTTCATCAAAGTAAAATTTACTGGACTTATGTCAGACCCCTACCATAGGGGTTGCCTAGTCTTATTCTTACAATGTAACAATCCCCCAAAATTCTTATAACCAGATGTGCTATTAAGTCATACTTTTTAACAACTTTACAGAATATTCTAGTTGTTTGGCGGCAAGAATTGCAACCAAAAAATTATTAATTCTCATTCTGATCCATCCAAGCCCAACATGATATCCTTGCAAGAGACATTTTTTACAAATCTTCTACATTTCACTAGTATGAGATTGTGTATCTGGTAAACGAAGATAAATCTTGTCAGTATCTTATTAAGTATCTTAGTGGGGAACACCCACAAAATGGTAGCTCGCAATGAACACCTCTTAGGAAGCTGAGAATGTTTTGGAATGTTATAGGGTCTGTTAAAGGTCAGAATATATTGCCAAGCCCATCGATCCTATTTTTCACAGAATGGATGCACTATATAATGCAAGCAACATATCAGAGTTCATAGATGATGCCAATGTCACACTTCCATCAGTAAAAGAGACCGCTGAAGGGGGGAGGTCAGCAGGGATTTACAAATTGTGCCAATCTGTGAATAAAATAAGATATAATGAATGACAAAAATAATAACTCACAAATAATAACAGAATGAGTAGGAGATTTTTCCCCCCCTTGAGCCAAACATTTTTGCATTACAAAACAATGTCATGACATGCCAATAATGAAACTTTTATGTTAATAGATACTGGAAAGCCACCACAATAAAATGAATTAGGACAATGTACAGTGAAGCTTATTACGACAAACAAGAACTCAACTCATTCAAGATGTAACTTTTTTCATAGTTGAAACCATTTGGATGTAACTAATTTGTGATCCTGTGAATCGTATTGACAGTATGGAAGTAAAATGATTTTTACAGATGGCATAGTAAACATTGTAATGGTGGTTATATATCATTGGAAAAGTAATTGAATGTTGATGTTCACTTAGTGAACATTCTAATATACATCAGTGATACTTTGGAGAAGAGCTAAATCAATCCCACCAAATGCCCTATTTGGAAAATTACCTTCTTCCCCCTAGGAGAAGGGGCATATAACATTCTAAAAAAATAGCCAACAAAAGCAACAAAAAGAAAACAATATTGAATAAACTGCAAAATAATTTAAAGATTGAAATCTTAATTCAAATACCAGTCAATGTTTTTGGCCTGTCTCTATTTTCTGGTTGATCAAGGATGGCCTTGTTCTATCTTCTATTCCTTCGTCCTCCCTAACTGACACGATAGCTAAATCTAATTCAAAGTATAAATCCCCATCAATTTTCAATTTCTTCTGCTGACTAGGTATAAGCCCCTATTAATTTAATCCCTCCTTTATTGTAATGACAACCATTGTAGCTCTCCATTACCAAAGAGATCAGTAATATCAAGAGTCAAGCTCGACCCAAGGGAAAAAGTTAAAGAAATCAGAGAAAAATATCATAGATTTAAACAATCGTAACTTTCTTTTCAGTGGCTTAAAAAGAAATCTAAAGATATAGTAGAAACCAAAAGATCTCGTCAAACCAAAAGACATGCTGGCAAAGTCGTTTAAAAAAAGTTTTCCTTTATATGGTCACCAGCAAGAAGTGATCATGTGACAATGGTCGCTATACGGGCACAGGAGGGTTCGTGCTGCAGTCAACTCTGTCTGATCTAGGCAGGAATGGATTAACAAAACCTACAACTCATCTAAGAAAGAGAAGGAATCCCCAGTATATTTTTGACAATGACAATGACAATCTTTATTCATCTCACAGGGAGAAATTTGTCTTGGTCATTTACAATGGCAGTTACAAAGGTTAGGAGCACTCACAAATACACACATCAAGACAGGACATAAGTAAATATATGCTTTACGAGCTGAAACAATCCACTCAGTGAAACACACACACTCTCTCTCTCTTTATCTGTTTTATTTGTAGCACTGTGTGTTCAGTAACCTTACTGCAGTAGGTACGAATGAATTTCTATATCTGTCTGCTCTTGCTTTTTTTAAAACATACCGATTACTGAGGGCCGATAATTGAAATTCCGATGTCAGAGGGTGGCTATGGTCACTTAGCATTATTTCCACCTGTTTTAGAACGCATGTCTTGTACAGAATATTCAAAGTTACTTAGGTCTCTATCAATTTTGTACGTGACCATAGATGATGAAAGTTTTGTACAAAGGAGCCCCCACACAAAAGTATACCTCCTTTCTGGTGAATAATGCAAAATTATTAAGTAGCATTTTTATATAATTAGGCATTTAGCTCATGCATATGAATTACCATTTTCCAATGTCATTCATGAGAACTGGCAGAATTCCCTGGGCATGAGGCGTCTAGATCTTGAGCGTCTAAAAAATAGAATACACAGTGAAACCTTTTTGAAGTAAACATAAAACTATAACTAATTCATTTAGGTGAACAACTCCTGTTTTCCATTAAGAGGCAGCGCCAAATGTAAACGGAGTTTTGAAATTGGTGTCTCTCTCTCTCTCTCTCTCTTCTGGCGCTGTGGCTTCATAAACGGTAAGCGATGCCGACAGCATGCAGGAACTCAACACTTGCCCCGGGGTCCTTAAAAAGTGCTGAAAGTGGGTTACTGAAATGTCCCAGCAGACGGGTTCTACTAGTTGTAGCATTTTGAAATAGGTGAACTGCAAATCAATAAAAATGAAAAAAAATGGAAATACGGTACAATGAAACTCGCAAGGCCGTCCTGCCTGCCCGAACCTTCTAATTAATTAATTGAACATGAGGGTTCAGTGAAAGGTTTATAATGTATTTATTTTTCATTGATTACAGTATGATCATCTGTTCTGCTGGTCTGTATGTGTAACACTGCAAGTATAAAGGGAAAGAACCAATGCTGACCTTAAATGCCTGCTTACGTAAGTACAGCAGTTGCTTCCCTAGGCTCAATCCCTGAACTTTGACTTTGAGTAAAAAAATTGAGCTTGGGTGAGATTTTTTTCTTCTTCTTATGAACCACATATTAAGTGCTCTATCAACATCTTCAAGCGCAGGTGTTTGTTGTCTCTTCCATTTACATGATTCTTTGTCCACTGTCGCTCCTGCCATTGCCTTGTCTTTCAAAAAAGATGACAGACAGACAGAGCTTGGTGCAAAGCCATGCTTACTGTAAAAATCTTCTCTCTTTTCCCCATTTCCATTTCATAAACACAGAGAGTTATTTGGTTAATTTTCTTTGCAGCTTTACTAAATGAATCCTAAATTAAGGCCATACTAATGTTGAAAACTAAATCATCATAATGCTACAGCATAAAATGGAAAGCTGAAAACAATGCTGTGTAAAAGCACATTGCACACAAATGCACATGTGTGACATATAATGGACTACTTCCATTATTGGTGTAACGTATTGTAGGGCAAATCTTGACAAGACCTTCCAGACTGTTCTGTAGCCAGGCAACACATCTATGACTGAACTTCTGTTGACAATCCACACCCAGCAATATTACCCCTCCCCCCCAAAACACAAACACACAAATGCATGTACATCGCTACAACATGCACAGTGCATGTACTATCTGCCCATCCAATCTCTCTTAACTTTTTGCTGCCATAGGACGTCGATCAGCTACGGTGAAAGTTATCTCACTTCTCCATCGGATGTTAATCTGCAACAGTTTGCGTAAAATGGCAGTGCCTCTCTCTGTGATAGATCAATCATAGCATTCACTGTGCAGGGTGTCTAAAAAAAGAGGACCCACTTAAAGGACAATAACCTGGTCATCAGTACACTTTCAGTTTTAGTAGAGGTTTTACAGCGCTCGCAACTGCATAAGGTCATATGAGCACCAAGGGGTGGATGTCAACAGAGAAGTCCTTACAGGGATTCGGACTTACGCTGCTCACCCCTCTAGCTTCAACAGCACAAAGTCTGCTTCGACTATCAAGGCACCCTGGAAATAGCGGGTCACAAGAGTGTGACAAACATACAAAAGAAGTAGAGGAAAAAGATGATAGTAAGGATTAGGAAAGAAAAAGCAGTAGTTCCCTGTTGTGGTTCAGGCACAGTTATGAGCATGACATTGTTAGATCAGCCCATTTACAATTCTACTGTGCACTAGAATGAGAAATGCTCCCCCTTTTGGGAATGGCCTGAAGACACTTCAGTCAGTGGCACCGCCCTGTGGGTTATCAGTACACTAATTTTAACACAACTTTGAATAAATAAAATTCAACCACGGAGACATCAAGTTTGTAAATATAAAGAAAATCCATTATCTCCTAGAAGAAATATCAGGTTAAAAAAATTTCAACCATCATTGGGTAAAACGCAAAATTTCACTACTTAAAAGAGTTCAGCTACAGAGGCGTGATCGACCCATTCTGGTTTCAGGAAAAAGATGGTAAAACCATGACAGTCACATCAAATGGATATTTCACCTTGCTGAAAAAGTTGTGGAGAAGTTTGGAAAGGAGAAGGTGCTATGTTGTAGAGGCTTGGTTCCAGTGGAATGAGGCCATACCCCAAACGTCTGGAGTGGCCCTTGTGTGTTTGCAAGAAAGGTTTGGGGAACACCTTATAGGCCTGTAGTTTACAAATGATCGGTCACCGCATTCCCCCAAACTGGATCACTTTCAATTATTACCTTTTAGTTATTTTTTGTTATCAGAGTTGACAGAAACAAGCCATAAACGATCGAACAGCTGAAACTCACTGTTGAACAAGAAGTAAAAAAAAATCAACCCCAAAAACATGTCACATGTCACAAGGTTATTCAAAATTTCCAGCCACTACAGAAGCTAGTATGGAGAGAAATGGTCAACATCTGGAGATTTAAATAGCCACCTTCTCCGTGAGTATATTTGGTAAAATAATTTTTGTATAAATTTGCGCTTCAATGCACAAATAGTGACTATTTGAAATAGAACGGTATGGTTGATTTTTGAGAAGTTGAAAAGTTTTGCTTGTTACTCAGTTTTGGTTGAAATTTTATATTTTTAACATGGTCAATGATTTTCTTTTCTGATCGACAGATGCAACGTCCCCCTAATTGAATTTTCTTTCTTCAAAGATTCGTTGAAATTGGGCTAAAGAGGACAGAGTTATTGTCCTTTTGACAGGTCCTTTTTATTTTAGACACCCTGTATGATAAGCAATAAGTCGGAAGTGAGCCAAGATACAGGGTATCCGCTACTCTTTGGAAAAAAGAAGACAAGGTTCATTGTGGGAGAAAAATGCACAAAGTTACATCAGTGGGGGCTATTTGTTCAGCAAAAAACTTCTTTAAGTCTAAGATTGCTCTCTTGAGTGTTAGTTGAATGTAAGGTATTCTACTGATCTTAATTAATAAGAAAATGGGAAATCTTTCTCCTTTTCTGGAGTCTGCATTCTAATTGAGTACAAGATCGTAGATTCATTGTAAAGAAAAGAAATTGCACTTCATCGTCAACATGGAAGGCAAAATTGCAAACTGCCAAAAACATTACAATGACATGCGATGAGGATTGCTTGTTTGTTGTACGTTTTTTGCAAGGTGGGGGGGGGGGGGGGGGGGGTTCCCCACTAAAAGCTATTGTTAAATAAAAAGTGTCAAGCAAACCAACCTGTTATTTTCCTTTCCTATTAAGTTTGATGCTATTTTAAAGCTGGAACTGTCTTATTTTGTACTGTTCGTAGATGTTATGATTCTGAAATTTTCAACATCTTGATATCAATTTCGTATTCCACTATCAACACTTTTCACTGTCAGTCTTGTCACCCAAAATCATGTAAAATACATTATATGAAAAATTTATCCATAAATTATTGGAGGCACCCCCCTTCCCCCAACCTATTCTCTTAGAGGTAACTAGTCCTTTTAGATAAAAAAAAATGGTAAAACAGATCTATTGAGACAATAGCTTAAGAATTAGATTGGTTTTCAGAAACGAAATTTTACAGAAAAAAGATATTTTCAAGCAACTTTTACTTACTATCATATCGTGTTCCGCACCAGATGCAGAATTTATAAGTATTTCTCAGGTATTTCGTAAGTATTTCCAGTTTCTCCGGATCCTGTGGAGAAAGAGAAACAGTGTGGTTATAGTTCACGGAAAAAACCCCAGTTGCTTCCAAATTAATGCTAGTATTAGAAGAAAGAAAGATCTAGCTCGATGTCATTTGAAAGACAAATCATGAAAAAAAAAAATGCACTTTCCTTTTGAGTTTCTAGAAGTGGTTAGTACGGATTAAAAACTCTTATATATGTATACAGCTACAACAAACTATCAAATTAGTGTTAAGTCATGTAGGCCTACAGTATCTCGAGAGAATTGGGCTATAAAATGTCGTATGGTGTACACATATTTTAATTCCTACCAAACACTAAATCCACAGTAACACTGTGCCAGGCAGAGAATCTGCAAACTACCTGTTCAGAGTAAACAAAATATTTCTGAATTCACGTCACATTATGTACAGTACAACTAGTACAAGATATTTTTAAAGCAAGAAGGTCAACAGTATTTTCCAAAAATAAATAATCTGGATCGATAACAACAGCACCAACCAAACAAAAATAATCACATCATCTACATGCTACGATAATAGCCTCAGTCATCTACAGATCTGCAGTTGCTACAACAGATGAGTTGATGGCGACGGGGGAATGAAAAAAGGACCAACCCATCCAAAGTTCAACTTATCCGTCGGGACCATAAAACCAAGGGACATAACAAAATCTTTTCCCTTGCTCATAATATTAATTTAAACGGGCTACTGTGGTAAAAATAATGGCAACAGGAAAGGTTACCGATCAATATTTATTCATGTCATTAATCACAGCATTCTCAAGCATACGTGTATGTGTATGTGTTAGAGAAAGATGTCTACATATAT